ATGGCATCGCTTGAAGAACCTTTTGAAGCACCTTTATTTTTAAGAGTGTATATCTACACATAAAAACCTGTCTTTTTACTTAAGAACCAGATATGGGTGTCATGCCATAAAATATTTTTAATACGACTGACTTTTGTATTTAATGTGAATTTAATAAAAACATTGTAAGTTACTAATTATAACACTTTCATTGTACAGAAAGAGAGCAACGAACATTTACATTATGAAAGAACATTTTCAGGCTAGCGAATTCAAGCACTCTCAAAAACTCCCGTTAAAATTACTGAAGCTGTTAACATTGTGAAATGAATTTCACATCTGCACTCCGTTGTTTTTTTCTAATGTGAGAATTCGCCAGAGAATTCAGTCAGCGATCGCGCACAGTGAACAAGACAGCAGCATTTCAGCGATGACTCAACTGAACGCCTCTGATTGGTCATTGCATTCATAAGCTCAACGAAATCGTGTGTGATTGTTATAATGCGCAGCACTGTAGAAACACATCTGTCTCTGGCTCTGCACCAGCCAGCGAACACAGATTTGAATTTAGCAGCTATAGTTTACGGGAAAAACTGTGCATTGTACCCAAAACTGTTTGGTGAGATATGATTCCAAATTTAGAGGGGGGACCAATCTTGTTGACACGGGGGCAAAGTCAGCGGAGGTTCGCGCTGCGGAGCCAGGCGAAAGTATAAATAAGGCTTAAAGTCTGTCTACACTGGATGCGACAAAGCGACCATTGAAAATCATTTGAAATTTGTATCAGTCATAAATAGAACGCGACAGCAGTTTACTGTCGGAGATTTGTCATGTCGCGCCGCACCACATCCAGTGTATACAGCATCACTGATTATAACGAGTTCCATAGTATTTTGTCGTGCCGCTTGCGTCCGGTGTGGACACGGTGTGAGTTGCTGTGTGAACGGGACATTTCAAGACTCACACCTGTAAAGAAAATGCAGTTGTCAATCCCAAAAACTGACAGTGTGAAGTCTCTGATACTACCTGGGAAGCCAAGCATAAGAATCACTAATGTAAATTTGTTAACCGACAGTTAGAATTTTAAATTTTTAATCGCGATTAATCGCCTACTTTCATTTGCTGCATGTATAAAATAACATGCTAAACAAAAGTTTTTGAGTGGAAAAAAATAAAAACAGAGTGGAAAAATAAAACAGATAGCCTAAGTCACATTTTATTACATTCAAAACTCCATCGGTGACAGAAATGGAGAAAAAAATCTTGGGAGAAACCAGGCTCAGTCGGGGGCCTGTTCTTTGTGAATGTACTGAGCTGTTTGGGCCACTGCAAGCTGTAAAGTTAGCAGGAAGTGTTTGTCTGAACTCAGCAGGTTTTGCAAGGAGATGCAAAAGTTCTGCGAGCGAATGAAAATATCTTTGAGAGAGAACACAAATTTTCTGAGGGGAACGCAAAAGATTTGAATTTTTTTCTCCCATCCCATAATTTTTTTCACCACCATGTCCCTTTAGGGGTTCCGTACATGTCAATCTTTAACTGTCTCGGAAAATAAGTCGGTTAATCAGCGGCTGCGAAGACAACATTACCCTGGCAAGTGAGAGATAAATAACTAAATTGTTGTTGTGATTTTATTAAATTTACATAGCGTCTTTTCATTTATAAGTTAAATGTTTAGTTCAACAATTAAAAAAAAAAGTGTCTTATCTCAACCTGCATTATTCTTCATAAGGAGGTTTGTCGTTCTTAATTTGAATCACGAAAATCTCAGTTGTGGATTGCCTAATTGCTGACGACTGTTCATTTTATAATTTACTTTGGCTAGAGATTGCATTAGACCTAGACTGTAAGATTTTCAGAGGATAAATGCTATGAAAGAACAAAAAGACAGTGTCAGTGAAGGCAGTTTTGAATGTGTGTAGATGTGTGTTAGTAACAGGATCAGAAAATGACACTGTTCCTCTGTCATAGTCCAGATCAACTCTCACACACTCAAGGACCTGTTTAACAGGAAATCCAAAGTCTTCAAACATTTTGTACCGCACACTCCAGACATTAGTGTTAAAGAAATCACCTCCCTTTGGTTTGATGCTGTAGTTACTCCCAACACTCCAGGATGAACTCTCTTTAACCTCCACATCCCAGCAGTGCGTTCCTGAGTTAAAACCCTCTGAACCCAAAACACAGGGATAGATGTTGAATCTCTCTGGAATATCAGGAAGCAATTGCCTGATGTTACTCCATCTCACACTGGTCAGATCATCAGACAGGACGAGAGATGGATGAGCCGTGTTTGGATCCAGAATCACAGGAGCTGATGAGACACAGTCAACAGATGCTATTATTCTGATGTTCATATAATTATCAAGAGTGAACCCAACACAGATTATTATGAATTATGAAACTGGACCTACTGATCAAACACATCAGCCATCTTTAAATATGTAAATATTCCTCTATGTGTCATTTCCAGTGTATTGTATGTGTGTCCCGATCACCAGCTGGAGGTTACTTTGTTTGCTCTGGCTTATTTAAGTGGTGTCTTCCCATGCATTCTTTGTGTAGTCTTGCTATTATGTTACTACTGCATGTCTGAGCTCCTGTATTGCTGTCCTGGATACTGTGTTTTAATCCTCTGCCTAGTTGTTTGAATTTTACCCTGAATTGGATTATCTTGATTTCTGTATGTTTGGACCTTCGCCTGCTTTTGACTACTCTTTGGATTAATAAAGACTGCAACTGGATCTTCAGCCAAGTCTCAGAGAAGTGTTTGTAACTATATGTAAGAGCACAAATGTTCTCCAGACTCACTGTTTTGGACAATGTCCTGCATCTTCTTCCAGACTCTGAAGGGCAGGTTGCCCAAGTAACATGGCACATGAATCAAAGCTCCAGAAGGCATCTGTGGATCGGGCTGTGATGAGATCTGGACTCTGGAAGAACATTCAGGATCAGAACTGCAGTGGCTTTGGATCAGAAGCAGAGAGACCAGAAACACCAGCAGATCACTCACCTTTCCATTGAGACTGGAAACTTCTGCAGAACAAACACACAATTTATCATCAACAACTCAATCATCAATCAATGATCTAAAATGAGAAATCAACAAAATTAGGGCTGCAACTAATGATCCTTTTGATAATCGCTTTTGATAATGGTGTCCTCCAAAGAGTGTGCAAATTGACAGCTATGAGACAAAGTGTGCATAGGTTTTTATATATCATGTGCAAGAAGATTTAAAATATGAAGAAAGTTTAAAGAAACGTTACACATTATAATAAGTAAAAAAAAAAAACACACATTAGACTAAATGTTAACTGGTAGGAGGAACACACATTCACTTTCTTTACGCTGTGAGAGTCTCTTTGCAATTTCTGCTCTCATAAAATTACATTTACTTGCGTCACATATACAATTTAAATTGTACTGTAGTCATTTAATTACCCGAAAACAAATTTCTGCAATTTTTGACTGACGGAAAATCATTTGCTGTCAGGATGAGCCTTCCTGCAAAATGTTAATAATCATATGACTCTTTTTTTCAATACTGTAAGTAATGTGACTGTCGGATATTTTCATTGCACAGCAGACTGATTTCATTAATAATGAAATTTGATATTGAATATTTTATCAATTAGTGTTTGCAGCCCATATAAAATCAGCAGTTACCTCTAGAAATAAGACGTCATTGTCTTTCATCATCTCCTCCGTGTCTTTGATTGTGTGTGAAAGAGCTGAGATGTGTCTGTTGATCTCCTCCAGCTTCTCCTTCATCAGCTGCTTCTTCTGCTCCTCTTCCTCCTTCAGTGCAGTGATTGTAGCTTCTTCTTCATCTCTGAAATACTGACGAAGCTTCTTAAACTCCTTCTTAATCTGACGCTCTGTGTGCTCAGCTTGAGACTGAAATCAAACC